GAAATTTGGCTACGTCCAAAACATATTCGTTTAATATAATTTAGTAAGTCGTTAACCAGTTAATTACTTGAATTCCTTATTATGGTTTATCTTCTACCCATATGTCAGTTGAAAATTGAAATCTGTGCGACAGTGCAAAATTATCGCTGATGTTTGGAAACCGCAAACCTCGTCAAACAAGGCCGAATTTTTCTATTTTTTCTGTTACATCATGTGGGGGCTACGTATCTTTACGCGCGAGGGCAGGTGCTCAAAGGGAACCGGATCTCCGTCCTACTACGGAAAATGACAACTACCAGCGAAGCAGGTCGCCACGCCCAGTTTGCAAAGTCCATACCAACGACGATGATCGCGGTATCCAACAAAGTTTACTGGGAAACAAGGGTTCCGAAACAAGACGGCCCCGGCGCGCTCGTCCACCTGAGAGCCAGTATCGTGAGCGGGTCGTCGGTTGGAGGAGCTCACTCCGCTAACCGTCGTAGCAGAAGCTCAATCCAGAGCCCTCCTCAGACTGCCGTCCACCCCGAGATGGGAACCCCGACCGTCCCGCTCGATCTGTCCCGGACCTACCGAAACGGGACGCCCCTGGAGTAGCGCGAGGGGGAGTAGGCCAGCAAGGTGGCCAACCCTCTTCAACTCGATACAAAACGCGCTGGCTAGAAGCCCGACGATTCAGACAGACACGTCCGGAGCTTACACCTGCTCAGGGGAAAGAAGCCAGCGGCTCCCACAGGATAAAAACAAACAGCGCACAAAGAACAGGAGACACATGGAACACAGAAACGCTGACTCGTGTTTTCTGCGCCTCCCTCTTGTTGCCCAGTACTTTGTACGGTGTTTATTATTATGTCGTCTCAATACCCACTTGCCCAACTTACTATACAGCTCCCACAATCCTAACTATAGTCGTTTAAAACAATGGTATAGACGGTTCATTGATCGACCTATTGGATCGTTCGTTACATTGCTTCATTTCAATTTTTATGTCCGAGTCAAAATCTAAAGTCGTAAAAGTCTCTCATCTTGAGACTATGCCGCATCCATCGCGGAAACATATATTGCGTGATATCTTAACCACAAATGTTCTAACGAATTTCTGATGTTAAATAAATGGTGTAATGCATATTTGATTCGGTTATTCATTGGTATCTATACGGCCGAGCCAGAAACTGAAATCTCGATAAAACCCGCGTAAAAAGGGTAATGTGATTTGGAGATGGCGCGCCCGGACGAAAAGCGAGGAAAGGCCATTTTGCGAAGATGCCTCGCGCATTAGGATATCCAACCTCCCAATCTTTTTATGTGGCCCGTTGGGAACACCCGGGTCTAAGAGGATGAACTGTTTGCAGATAGTCCGTGCCCCACTCCCAAGTTAGAGAAGGACGTAACACGTCATCGTGAAATATGTACAGCGTTTCCAGAAGGAGGTCGGATCATTACGTAGATATAACAATCCTACATCCGCAAAAGCTTTGCTCGATATAATCAAGTTTTTGGAAAAAGCGCGACACTGTTAATACGAACAAGTGATCGACTTTTTTTGTATATTTTTGTTTTATACTGCGAAGGTTTTTCATACATATCAATCAATTATCCGTGATTTTTATTAGAGTCAATGCATATTACAAAGATAATAAAAGACCGTTTGGGCCCATTTTAGTCAAATATTGCGAGTAGTGTAATGGAGAGTGCTCGTTTGGGGCACTCGCCTAAGCGAAAGAAACGTGGTGGGAATTACGGCAAACAAATGAGGACAGAGAAGAAGGCACACAAGACAGGACTTAACTGACACATCAACACCTTCGGAAATGCATCTGTCCTTTTCCTGTGGCTCAGTCTTTTCAGCCACCTTGTTCTCTGTCCTCGTTTCATTTCTTTTATTGCGTATTGCCCACCATGTTTTAGAACCAACTGTCCCAATTCGCGGTTTCAACGAAGAAAAAAATGTGACTCCTCCCCATACCATTTCGAAGTGAAATGTGAAAATACACCGATTTTATGTCCTTGCGAATAACAGTGTCGCCCAGTGCACAGACAAAGACAGTGGCCATGACCACGCAATCGCCGTTTTTTCGTTTTTTTTTTTTCTTTTCTGAGTAGTCTTTTATCCGAACTTTAAGTACCTCGTCAACCCACCGAAAGCTTCCCGCAACCAAACATAGCGAATCATAACGCAGGCATAACACAAGCACGACCCATTCCTTGCTCCTCCGGTTCATCGGAATTATCGAGGCAGGTATAATTTTTTGTATAACTTCGACACCTAACGGCCAGAAGCGTAACATCCCACAGCACGACACTCCGTCTTTTGTGACGTTATTTGTTGCCACTTCGGGAACATTTTGGATGCATGGGCAGAATGGAGCGCTAAACACAACAGGTGGAAACGCGTTCCATGCAGCGGAGCAATACCACCTTTTGTCACGCAAGGTAACTCGAAGGCTGTGGTTGAGGCTGAAATGAAATCTAACGGAACAGGGTTCAGAATTTGCAACCATCCGCAATTAGGTTCTCGTAGCTTTTCGCTAAAATAGATATACGTGATCAGGTACTCTGCTCCTATGAAGAAGCACAATAACTGCAAATGTTTCTTTCTATGGGGTTAAGAGATTCCATTGGAGACGAGGTGTTTTGATGGTGCCCCCTGGAGATGTCACAACTGTGACGTCACCATAAGCGAAGTCACAACCAGGATTATCAGTTGTGAATGGCAAGAGGAACGGCGGCACGCGTGTAAACTGCATGGTGCAAGCGAGGAATCATTGCGTTCTTAAACCAATGCAGTCAAAGTTGACTATTCGACATTTCTTTCACTTCCTTTCGATGAAAGCGTGACAAGTACGATTAAAACCATCATAGCGAGCTTTTTGACCAATCACCGCAGATCGCAGCGACGTTTTCATTTACTTTATTTATGTATTATTTATTTATTTACCCTAAAGATTATACGACGTTACAAAGAGAAATGGTGCAATAAAACGCAGAGAGCATACAGGGGGAAAAAAACGCTGAATCAAGGTTCGAAAGAAAACAAAATGTTGAAGTAGGCATTTTTAAAATCATGAATGTAAACATCTTTGTCGGAGATTTGTCTGGTTGAGTAAAATGACCGAATTAAAAGAAACTTATTCAACCTCAAAACCGTAAAAATAAATCCCGCCGTGTTTTTTTTTTTTTTTTTCTTTCTTACGGGGTTACTATAAGTCGTATGGGGCAGTCACCGCTTCAACTTCTTCGTCTTTTAAACGAGAGGACATTCTTTCCTTTTTTTTAAGTAGGCAATGTTTTGGTCACTCTTCTTGTAACGTGACGTAGACCTTGCGCTTACAAGGATAGTAAGGCACCTATAGGGATCTGTTGGTGTTCCCTCGCGTATGTTGGATGTGCCGATATTCCAAAGAACACTTTTTCGGAAGTTTGGCTCCGTGTCCATCACGTGCGCCTGAACGAAGTCAATCGGATGGTAACGCCCTCTGCAGTGTTCAGCTTTAGATTTTTAAAATCCGTTTGGTCATGAACGAGAGCAGTTTGTTGGGGAAGGAGGTTTAATTCTACGAAAATGTGACTAATGAACGAGGTAAAAGAAAGTATTTCTATGACATAGAAAAGTGCCAATTTGTTTTGGTGATTTAAGCAATCGGAAATGTATAACGGGGCGTTAGTATAGGTGATGCCGAATAAAAGGATGACGCTAAAGCTGGTTCTGGCTGCATCAGATTATAGCGTCGGGCACGGTGGGATTTAAAGGGAAACCGAGTTTAGCAGTACGACGGTAGTTAGAAAGTCAGTAGGATACGTCGTGTATATTCTTTAATCCTCAAGGTTGGTTTCGCCAGGTTCACAGCGAGATCGGAACGCAAGTTGGGCATCAATCGGTGAAAAGACGGGAACAGTCTGTTGTAATCTTGCAGACAAAGTGTACAAATCCGTCCGTTTCTGCTGCGTCCCGGAACCAAGAGACGCGTTTTCCTCCTGTCAAGAGGGCCATAAACATCCCGCAGCAACAACAACAACAAAAAAAAGAGGAGCGAAGAAAGCCGATTCTGAGAAAACGGCGCCGCGAGACGGTCGTGTCTTTTTCGCGCCGAGCGCCTCGCAAATGGGCCGGCAACGAGCCCCCCGCCGCGGGTGGGCCCTGAGCCATCGGGGCCTCTCGGCGGCGACAGAACCCCGAGTTCTGGCTCTGCGCTGCCGGACCACCGTCTTTTATTAATGAGCCAGCGCGCGGCCGGGCCGCCGTCGAAAGCGACTGCGCGTGCGCGCTGCTCCACTGCGCGTGCGGCACCCCCCTCCTCCTCCTCCCTATGCTGTTTTCTTTGGCTCTGTTTGTCTTCTCCCCCGAGCAAATGCAACTCGCGCGATCGGACAGCCGTGGCCTCGAAACGCTACCAGACGAACGTCGATGCCGTGCGTTAAGCTACTCCGTGTATTCCGGGAATACAAAACAAACAAAATTAAAAGTGAAAAGACGCGATGGGGAGATCCGTTTCGTACTACGTTGGGAGAAATAGTCCTAGCAGGAAACGAAAACCGCGTTCAGTAGCGTTCTCAGTGTAAACACCTGCCTTTGAACAGTGATACACCATAGTGTCTGCTTTCCGCTCTATCTGGTTAATACGTGCGTTTCACTGGGGTATCAATTGGAAACTAAGAGCGCTCGAAGTACCAGTGGTTTATTGAGTAGCTCCTGGAAAGTACGCAGTCTTCGAATAGGGAAACTTAGGGAAACATTGCGGAAGTGAGTCGGTGCGTGAACCATTTGATCAGCGACAGCAGGTAGCGTAGCTCTACAATTCGAAATAGCCACTGGGGTAATGAGAACCGGAATAATTCCGTATGTATACTGAACATTTCCAACAGCCTGTTTGATACTGACGTGCTTCGCCGAAGGCTTCGCGCCTCTGGACATTCAGGAAACCTCGAGGGGGGCGTTCGCTGCAAGTCGCTTCCACTCGCCCCCTTCCAGTCCAAAGCGGAGAAAAAGATACACGGTTCCTTACCTGGGACGCCGGACTGCGCCGCCGCGATCCAAGCGAACCAGCAGTAGACGCAGCGTAGTGTAATCCCGATCCAGCGGCGGCGGCCGCCGCTTGGCCGACCGCACGACCTGTCAGCGAGAAGACCACGCATCGCTGGACGGTCCCCGACCCCCCGTGACGACGTCATCGCCGCCATGCACCCGGGGCCCACTTCCTAACTGGGTTCTCCGGACCGGGGGCCGCCTAGCCCGGGACGGAACAAGAACCACGTTCGCGCCATGTCCCTCCGACGCTCGTGCCAGACGCCACAACCTGGGTTCGGGACGCCAGGAGCCGCCCGCAGCGCGCTCTGCGGGGACGCCGCCGTCCGACGTTGGGGGAGCGTGAGGGCGCTGCGATCGGCGGTGCGCCCTCCCGTGGCGGTTGGGAGCAGACGATCGACACATGGCCGATCGAATGCTGGCGACTCCCTTTTTGCTCGTCGCCGCTTTGCTGGATTTGCTGACGGAGGCTGGCAATGGGAGTGCAATCGAGGGGAACAGGGGAGAGGGTATGGGGATGAGAAGGGAAGCGCGTATACCCCTTCCCGATTATGCCGCTCGTTTTTATTTTTATCTTCGTCATTTCTTTAATCCTAAGGAAAGGTTTCGACTTCAGGAAAACCGAGTATTGAACTGCATTTTTCGTTTCATGGAGACCCCCAAGTCGTAGTCATGACCTGCATATACGGCACCTCAACTTTTAACGCCGCAGTGCTGTCAGCACCAGCGACACTGACAGCACTGCGGTGGCGCTGCTGTCGGAATTGCGCGTGCAGGGATTGGCCATTGTCGCATCTTGCACGAATAGACATCCTTACGCAGAAAATGCATATTCTCAAATGAATTCTATACAATCGCAAGGCACACGAATGGATGTCAATAAATTATGGAAAATAAATCTACTATTAATGGCATAAAAATTGCCTATTCACGAAATAGAAGTGTTATTATTAAGCGAACTATCAGAACAACGTTCGCAACATGAAGGCGGCTCAATATTCAACTAGTCATCGATTACAATTCCCCTACATTCAAACAAGGGAAGCGTGTTCACAAAAAAAAAACAAAAAAAACAATTGCGCTTATCTGAATTGTAAAGCACATACCTCTTGATCGACTAACATAAAATTGATGTTGACAAGCTCTCAAGGATCCCTCGTTCAGTTATCAATGTATAAATTCAGAACTAGTCCCGATGGCTAAGGATCCAGATGCAATGTGCAGTGCTTTCGATGTGTACTACAATTAAATAAATAAAAATTGGTTGATTAATTGATTGATTCTGTTGATTGATCGGTTGATTAATTGATATATCGATTGATTGATTATTATCGGCCCAATTTGTATTGGCACAGGTGTAATGGCGCAGTTTGTGTAACAACAAAAACTGCAAAGTCTTTAAAGCCAAGCAGGGCTACTTTTAGCCAAAAAAACGGCCAATTGAAAAAAGCGTTGGTCGGGGAACATTAGTTGCGAGGGGAGGAAAGCTATTGGTCCAGTGCGAGCCCGCAGTACAGTCCCAGCGATAGCTTTCAAACGTCACAGCAAAGTCCTTTGGCACCGTTGTCGCGTTCACGCACCGGGAGTCTTGACGTCGAAGTCTCTCGAGGACGTCCTCGCTTGAGGGTCCGCGACCGGCGCGCCCCAAGCGGCAGCACGCCGAAGCTCGATTAGATTCGCTTCGTGTCAGCGTCGTGGCGAGCCGCTGCGAGACGCACCGGCGGAGTCGCTGGTCGGCGCCGCGTGTGTCCACCATACTTCTTTGAATCTTAAGTTCAGTCGCAGCCGACGTTATGAGCCGATGGATCAATTCAGACAGCATCAAGATAGCACCATTACGGTGTCCGCTACGTTTCTGTGCGTGTTCTATTACCGCTGAATCAATCATAGAGGTGAAAGTCCCAGTGACTTGCGCATTTGACGCTGTTCAACTGGTGCCATTCGCTCGTGGCGTCGGCTGCTTCTGAACTTAACCTGAAAATAAGTATAATGGTGTCATTTAGGCGGAAGGGGGAAGAGGGGGGAGAGGGGGGCGCAGGCCTCTAGGTGGTATTTGGTCCGGTGGCGGGACGTGAAGTCACAGGTGACAAGTGGAGTGATGCGACGATAGGATCGGGCGGCGGCTGACGCCTCTTAACCGAAGATTTTCATTTCAACAATTAACGAATTAAATTTCGAATTCATTAAGAATGATGAAAATGGTGCATACCAACGTCGCGGGAACTATGGCCTTCTATCGAGCGCTACACGAGACTCATAAGCACTGGGGTGCCGACATAACTTGTTCTGAAATGTGTGGGCTGGCTCTGCGGTATCTGTGGTAACGGGCTCACTTTATACACAGCGTACCCAGGATCGAACCAGGAGAACACCCGTGCGGCGGGCGATCTTTTTCGAGCATTTGACGATGTTGACGACGGACGAACTACGCCCTACTAGAACTACTACCACATAAATTAGAAAAAGAACAACTACACCGACAATGGACGTCATTGTTATGAGAAAAGCCCATAACAGCTATTGCCGTCGGAAGTCCCAACGCCGTATTGTCCCGTACGTAGTATGCCCGAACATCACTAGAACGACAAACAAAAAAAAACGACACCGATATCGTAGCCTCCTCTAAACTCGAAAAGCCTGGCAGTTCGAAGACGGAGCCATAGAACGCCCGATCGCAGATTTAAAATGGGAGGATCTGGTAGCACAGAGCATTTCTCGGGGAACCTGGCCGTCAGCGCACACCTTCTGCAACGGCTAGTTCCCGAAACATGGTTTCCAAACCCCGCAAAAAAAGAAGCGGTAGCGCCTGGAACACAAGGAGCACGAGCGAACATTTCATCGCTCGGGACAAGCGTGTTTCGACGTCTCGCCGCGGCGGGGCGCCCGTCACCTGGCTCTCTTCTCATCCGTCCTCTGCCCCTCTACATTTTCACTTTCGGCTGCCGCTTCTCGTGGCTATCTGCCAGGCTTTGTCAGTATAGAGAAGGCTAGGGTGCCTCAATGTCCTAGAGAAGGCTATGCCGATATGCCTCAAGCTCGCGCAGCTTGCACTCGAACGTACCTTCGAAGGTATTTTTGGTGAGCTTGCAGTTTTTGCGGCTCGTGAAATAAGCACGAGTGGTCGCAAGCTTCCCAAAGATGCCTTCGCGTGAATGCTGCACGTGCTTGAGGCCCGTCGGTGTCCGTTGTTTCTGTTTGTCGCTCTGGTGGCACTAGGGCACTGTAAGCAGTCACTGCATAACCACTTGCTCGACTAACATTTGAGAAAGTCATGAAACAACTTCAAAAATGGCGCGGAAAAACAATCAGTTCTCAGTAATCCAACTACTCCCAATCTTGCCATACAGGTTTCCCAAAGTACCTTGGAAAGCCATTGAACTTGGCGGTAGTAGGATCCACGAGGTGGCAGCACAAGGATGTCAACGCGCTGACCAGAATCCTTGGCCACTTGTACAGGAACAAAGCCCGAAGACACGATCCCACACCTCCAGCCATTGCATTTGGAAAGCCCTTTGAGACGACCGGAACCCAACAAGTTTAGTTTGACCCGGCCGCTTTGTGTCAAACCAAACGCCTTGAAAAATTTATTTTTCGATACCCACTTTCTCAACGGCTTTTGACGTTCACGTACTTCTGTCTACCGTCTGAGACAGCATCTCCAGCAGTGTTGTAGGCGTTCCAGAGAAAAGTTAACGAAATACGTGATTTGTTACTCGAAAAATAAAGGAACGCGTAACCGACCTTCGTTACCGCATAATAAAAATAAAAACGCTTTACGGCAAAACGTAACACACTTTAATTTTGTGTTACTTTTGATTTGTTATTCAATAAAAACAGCGTTGCCTTTTTTTTTTTTTTTTTGACACTGGGAGAAATGGCGGAGGCCTTGGGGTTTTTCTAAAGTGGGACTTTTTGTATCGGGTAAAAGTCAGACAAAATTTCGAAGGTATGTCGAATGAGTGCAATTACTAATAACTTGGCGCCTATACTTTGTTTCGGCTTAAGTCGAGAGGCAGCCGACGCTACGAGCTAATCGGGCCAATCAAGAAGAGTCAAGAACGCAATTCATTGGGCCTTCCTCGTTTATGATTGGTTCAGCAATGATAGAGCACGTTGAGAAACATGCTGACCACCATGATGGTGCACTTTTGACGCCCTCTGATTGGTCACATCAGCTCGTAGCGTCGGCTGCGTTGGACTAAAAGGGAAACGAAGTAAACGAACATGAAAACAAATTTAAGTGTACTCGTTTCAGGTCTTGGGAAGATGTAACAAGTAATGTAACCACCTTACCCGTTACTCGAAGTAAGTAACGCCAAGTAGGTTACCCATTACTATTTTCGAAAAGTAACGAACATGTTACTGCGCTACCGGAAAAAGTAACGCGTTACCGGGAACGCGGTTATTTGGAACGTGTTACCGCCAACACTGAATTCTCCACATGCCTTTGCTCTCATGAAGTTTTACGCGCAGGACGTTCCCCCATTTATGCTTCTACTCCTAACTAAGGATGTGCAGGAATTCACTCAGCGGAAAAGAGAGCATGTGTGCGGAGGATATTTTTTTTAGAGGATTCTGTCTTGGCTTGAAAGGCACGAAAATTGCATCGCTATTGAGAATACGCGAACTTTGGCACTAACGATTCAGCTAATTTAGATGGCACGAAGCCATCAACGTGTACCCCAACTAGTCACTAAACGAGCTACGCTACAAAGTCGACGGACTACTTTTCTGACGACTGAAAGACTTAAAGTGGCCGCACTACGCGCTCAGTTTTTACCCTGTCACTCGATATAAGCGAATCAAGAATGGTAAACATACCAGTTAGAGACGCCTTCAGGCACCATGTATCATGACCTGTGTGGCGCCGTTGTTAAAGGACTGCCATCGAATTGCTGTCTAGGACGAACCTTTTTTTTTAAAGAGTTTTAAGTATTTATGAGCTCTGCTGCCTCATAACGGCAGAGCCTCACATGCGCTTCACTGGAAACGGGGAAGCTGGACCGACTTGTTCGAAACGGACAAAGTTATGGCTAGCGAGGGCATGAGAAGCAATCTTCGAGAGACACACCTCTGGAGGAAGGTAGCTTTGGCTGCTCCCGAATTCAGGAAACGCAGTTCGAAGCAAGCTCTTGCCCTGAGCAGGTGTCACACCTGCGCTTGGTGGATCTTTACGTAGAAAAGGTCCCTCGAACAATGTGAGAGATAGGGAGAGAGTTGCTTGCTAAGCCCGATAGAAATCCCCCAGAAAATCGCTGCTCCCCGTAGCCCAAGTCACGTGACCGGAGGCCACGTTGTTGACGCTGCCGTCGGCCAACAGCTAATTGCCAGGAC